ACAGGTACCACTTGAGGTTGCCAGTGTCCCTGTAGGGTGAGGCTTTGCAAGGCTCCCTGACCTGCTAGTCTTCACAGGGATGCAGTAGTGGTGGGATCCATAAGGAAGTGTAGAAACTGGTTCTCTTCTGTCCTGTGACTCATCTGTTTTCCTACGGCAGCTAGTGAAGGGGAATTGTAAGACCTAGTTGTGACACTGTGTTACCAGCTTATTTCTTCTGTTGGGTCTGATATCACACTTTCCCAGGCTCCTGCACACCCTGTCCTATTCTTCCTTACTTGAAAGTAAAATGTTAGCTCTCAAGTAAAATCCTGGCTGGATCTGGATAATTTATGCCCTCTATCATATATACCCTATAATTGTGTACCCAACTTTTAATTTTTGTCTTAATGTGTCATATGCTAACTTCTCACATCAACAGCAGCCATGAAACTTTAATTCACTTCAATCACCACTTTGCAGAAGTGGAATCCCCTTCTCCACGTTTTCCAGTATAGTTGTATGGGTTCTGCTTCTATCAGTATTTCATATTTACATCATTAAGATTATGTTGCTGTTCTCAGCTGTGTTGTATAGTGATGGTGATTATTTCTTTCCTCTGTGTTTTGCCTCAAATTATGTTTTCATTTTACTTCAGCTCAATTTTTCTGTGTATCTATTACTAATCAACCTTCAATCTCTGCTAGAAAAATAAATATTATCTTAGTGTATTTTAAACTCATTAGGTATTCTATCAGCTCCATCCTCTTAGATCACTTTTCCCAGAGTGATACATCCTGTTCCAGACTGGACTGGCTGCTATCTGTCTTTTGTATAGATTTTACTTTTAAATACTCCTTCACCATAATTCTGAATTTCTATATATCATGTTGGATCCTTCTTTTTTGATTTAATGTATTCCCTTCACCTCCCACCCCCTTTATGAGTGTCTAACAGAGAAAGAAAAGCATGGAAGGTAAATTTTTAAAGATCTGACATGTCTAAATACGACTGCTGTGTGCACTCACTGAGATTTTACTGGGTAGAGAATTCCAGGTAGAAAGAAAACATTCAGAATTTTGAAATCAAAGCTCCATTTGGGAGAAGGAACTATAGGGATCTCTGTATTTTTGCCATATACAGGAGTCTTTTAAAAGTTTGTAGAAAACATTATAAAAAATTATGCATGGATTTCAAAATTTTTTGCACTAAAATAAACTTATGCTTTAATTTCATTTTCCATGAACTTTTAGAACCCCCCTTATGTAAATTTATGTAAACATCCTGTTTTCCCCAGAGTCATTCTCTTTCCACTGTGCCTGACATTCACACTCTGCAATCCTTTTGATTTATGCTCTCTTAAGAGTGGAAGGGAAAAGGGGACCTGTATTCTAAGTTTTCCTCAAGTTATCTTGAAGCAACCCTGCTGAAGTTATTCCCTCTTGCTCCATTTACAGATTTCTGAGATGTTATCACTACTTGGGCCTTTGAATTGCTCTTCAGTTGCCTCCTTGCTAAGTTAGGCTTCAGAGTTCTCTTTTTCTTTTTACTTAGAATTTTTTTTTTAATTGTCAGTAGGCACATGTGCTTTCAAGAAAGAGAGAAAGAGCAGAGAGAAAAAAGAGAGCACACACCCCATTCTTTTGGGTCCATTCCTCTTTCCTGTCAGGATTTTGGGCACAAATGCACAATCACCCAGTTTGTTGATCAAACCTCTGTCACTAAGATTCAGACCACAGATGGCCATGTGGGACCTGGTGTGCTTAACTGCTGTTAAGCAGGGTGGCCCAGGTTTCCAATTTTCAGTTTGCTATTTCAGTTACCTTGAATAAATCACCTCCAGAGGCCAGCTGGTGGCATGGTAGTTTAGGTGCTGGCTCCTCCATAGCCAACAGTGTGGTTCAAGTGCCAGACCCTGTGACTTGAAAAACACGCTAGGTGTGTGCATGTGTGCCACAAATCCCAAGAGAAGAATGGAGGAGAAGGGATTGTGGCATGGCCATCACCCCTGGGGAGCAAATTCTCACTTTCTCTCTCTCTCTGGCAAGCACAGGCACCACATAGGAAAACAAAAACAAAACAAAACAAAAAGCCACATCTGACCTTCATGAGCCTTTCCTTATTGCCTCCTCCCTGTGATTGTTAGAATCTGCCTCTTCATGAATTTCTTTATTGTCAACATAGTGGCGTTGGGAGAGCATGGAAGTAACCTATGTATTCCATCTGCCCTGGCATCCCAAACAGTAACCTCATAGAGCTTTGGGTCCTTGGTTTTTTGTTTCAAAACAAAATTTTAAAGAATTATTTATTTAACTTCATTTATTTATTTATTTGACCAGAGTGGGACAGAGAGAGAGAGAGAGAGCCATCAGGTCCAGGACTCGAACTGCAGTCAGTCACGTGGGACTTAACCACCATGCCACCTGCTGGCCCCTGTTTCAAAAATTTTAAAACTTCAAAAAACTTTTAAGAATACTACAGTGAACACTTCTACCTTCATATAGATAAAATGATTAATACGAAATTGTCATATATGTGCTGTCATTTCAACATGTATGTATATGTATACATATGTATACACAGACTTCCACACCAACATAGATACATATACATATTCTCTCTCTCTCTCTCTGCATAAATTAAGTTTCAAAACACAGATACTTCATTCATAAATATTTTAGAAACTCCTAAGAATCAAGAAGTCTTTTACATATTCACAATACATTATCACTTTTAAATAGTGAACATTAGTACCATATTATATCATATAGTACCTATTCAGATATCCTCAGTTGTCCCAATAAAATCATGTACAGTATATTTTTTCTGTTTTTCTAATCTAAGAACCAAAAACCCAGCATCGTCTTATACCTGTAATGAATTTTAGCTTGAACATTGTTCTCTTTGTTTCTTGTTTTCATTTAAACTTAATTTAAATTTTTTTTGTTTTTAATGTTTTTATTTCTTTAAAATTGATAGATAACATTGTATATATTTGTGATACATGGTACAAGTATAAGTTTTAAAATGGTTAAATCTAGCTGATGAACAAATATGTTGTTCACGTAGTTATCACTTTGTGATGAGAGCTCTTGAAAACTCTTTGCATTTTTCAAAAATGCAATGTACTGTCGTTAATTATAGCCATCATGCCCTATCATAGATCTCTTGAATTTATTCCTTCTGTCTAATTATAGCTAGGTATTAGTTATGTGTTCTTTGACCAACATCTCCCCATCCTACCCTTAAACCATCTAATCTTTGGTAACCACCATTCTACTCTCTACTTTTATGGGATCAACTTTTTTTAGATTTTGCATATGGGTAAAATCATGTGGTATTTGTCTTTCTTTACCTAGTTTATTTTACTTAACATACTGTTTTTCATGTTCATCCATGTTGAGACAGATGACATGATTCCTTTCTTGTTATAATTAAGTAGTCTTTCATTGACATAGCCTCATTTTCTTTTCCTGTTTACCTATTAATGGAAACTTTTTTTTTACATCTCATAATATTTTCATTTTTAATAACTTCAAGCCACTGCATTTGTAGATTGTCCTATAATATGGATTTGTCTTATGGCTTCCTTACAATTAAAAAAGTTACATACTTTTTTTTTTTTGGTAGAGGTTTTTGCTACAGGGTGCGTTCGCTCACCAGAAAGAGAGAGAGACAGAGAGACAGAAAACGAGAAATCGCCCATCCCCCCCAGGGAGGATGGCCACGCAGCAATCCCTTCTCATCCATTCTCCTCTTGGGATCTTGGGCACCCATGCACACGCCGCCAGCATGAGTTTAAGCCACTGGGTCTGGGAGTCGAACCACAGTTGGCTACATGGGAGTTCAGCGACATAGCCATTACACCAACTGCTGGTCACAAGTTAAATACTATTGATAAGAATACAGTATAGGTATATGTAGCTTTTAAATGCAAAATATAGCTATTATTTATGTAGTAAACAAACATTTATTTGTTTTTATTATGTAAAAGTACATATCAAACTATAACAAAGTGCACGAATATATCTTTTAATATTATTTCTGTTTCAAACTGTAATAAAGACACAGTAATATTTTATGAAGGCTAACTTCAGTATGCACTACCATGACACACCCATCTTTTGTCTACATTAAGCAAAGGAACTTTTATGATTATGATAAAGACATTAGAATCTGTTTTGCTCCTCTCATGAAATGAATAAATTGGATTAAAAAATTTGTATTGTCTTATCTAGCACTGACATTTTATAAATCTATGAATAAATCACTTATAATTTTGAAAATGAAATACATTTTAATAGAGGTGAAATCATGGAGCAAAATGTCCTGTTAAAATAGTTATTCTTCTATATAAATTGACAATAGGTATACTATTTATAGTTATGTATATTTTTAATATTTACAACTTATGCATTGCATCATTGTGTATTGTCCAACTCTGCACCAATAACAGGTGACTTAAGGTGAGTCACTTACTCTACTTACAGGTAACTGAGTTTGTATAGATTATTATACTGCAGAACCAAGATCAAAAGTTAAGTTGAAAGGAAAAGTTGGACTCATTCCAAGTTAAATGATATAAATAGAATCTAACATTGTTAATATTATGAAAGAAATATTGCTATTAATTTTTAGGTAGTTATTTTACAATAGCTCCCATTTAATAAATGTATAATCTTTGTTGTTTTTATTAATTTATTTTTTAATTTTTATATACATTCAATCACATTGTTTAACTTACACTGTGAACATTTCAATATGTGAACATTTCTCCCCAGTCCAGTTGATCAAAATATCTTCAACCGATAACACCACACCTCCCCATCCCGTCATGTTCTTCCTTAATGCAATCACTTTAAGGATAGACCAGTGACGATGATGTCTTTTTGTTTTTAATTAAGTCCATTGAGTGAGACTACATTGCAAAATCATTATCAGTACCCTTAGTACTTTGCAAGTAACTAAAATTGTAAGGAACTTTGAGCTGAAACGATGGTGTTATATTTTTTTTCTTATAGGAAGCTCTGATTATGGCAAGTATGGACCATCCACACCTAGTCCGGTTATTGGGTGTATGTCTAAGCCCCACTATCCAGCTGGTGACCCAGCTCATGCCCCATGGCTGTCTGTTGGATTACGTCCATGAACACAAGGATAACATTGGATCACAGCTGTTGCTTAACTGGTGTGTCCAGATAGCTAAGGTAAGTGCCCGTCACTTTGTACGAAATGACGCATCTATGTTAGTATCTCCTAATCTGGAACAATTAAGTGTGAAAACATGTCAAGTTTTTCAACCTATGTAAATAAAAGAAACGATATTTTCTCAGTTTAAAAATATAAGACAAAGAGGTCCTATATTGAACAGATTCCAAAACAAATAGCTTACTAGTCAGGAAAAAAAAAATTGTTCTACTGGATGTGTTTGAACTTTTATTTCATTTGGTTTAGACTACTTAGCAAATTAGATTAAAGAAAGAAAAGGTTGTGTGTCCAAATTGCTCTGTATTTAGATGATTTTAGCCTGTTAAATTCTTGATATTATAAATGACCTAATTGTACATATTTGTTTTTCAAAACTATTTTCAATTGGTTTTTAATTTTTTTTCTTCTGCTTCAAGAGTTTAGGCATGTAATGCACACAGGGAAGTGATCTAGAGTAATGAGGCAGTGGCTATGTGGTAAACTAGAGAACATCTGCTTCCTTTTATTTTTTATTTATTTATTTATTTATTTATTTGGAGAGGTTTTTGCTATAGGGCGCATGCACTCGCCAGACAGAGAGAGACAGAGAGACAGAAAGTGAGAAATCACCCCCCAGGGGGGATGGCCACGCCACAATCCCTTCTCCTCCATTCTCCTCTCAGGATCTTGGACACGCACGCACACGCACCTGGCGTGAGTTTTAAGTCACCGGGTTCGGGACGCGAACTGCGGTCGACTACGTGGGAGTCCAGTGACATAGCCATTACGCTAACTGCTGGTCCCGAGAACATCTGCTTCCTGGGCAGTCAGGATGGCTAGTTCACCCATGACTGACCATCCAGTTTGTGTCCTGAGCTGGTGGCTTGAGAAACACACTTGTCACGTGTTTGTGTGTGCCCAAAATCCTGAAAGGAGGAAGAGATAAGAGTAGAAGATATGGTGGCATGTCTCCCTTCCACCTGATAGCGGTACTTCTCTCTCCCTCTTTCTCTCTCTCTCCAGTAAGTGCTCAAACTTTCTGGCAAATTTGAAATAAATAGCTAAATAAAAGAGAATAGTTACTTTCATCTACAGAACTATGGTTTAGGGACTATCACCAGAGTAATCTGATCTTTTGATTTTTCAAGGGTAGCCAGAATGCTCTTCTACATGAATTCTCTAATTTCAAATTTCAGCATAAACTTTTGGAGTACCCTGGAAACTAAACAATGTATTTAAGTCCTGCAACCTCTGTACCAGGGTGCAATTTCTGGTACATATTTTTGTGTTGAAAGAAACCATTTATAATTATCTCTCTCAAGTATCTTTCTTATTTTTTATTTCTAGAAAAAAAAATAGGTTTGTGACCAGTCTTAATTTACTATGTCAGCTCTTAGTTAAACCAAAATATGACCTCATTTTTTATAAACTGTGTAACTATTCTCATTTTGCAATTGTGGAATATAAATGCCAATGTGGTAATTTAGTAGGTTTGTCTGGTTTCTTTTTACAGTCCAAATAATAAATAAAAATACATTGCCAAAAGCAGAAACTTGAGATAATTCTTAAAATGCAAACCCAAAAAATTATGTGAACTAAGATAACAGCTTATTTCTATATTCCATAAATCTCAATATAGTTTCCTTATGGATCATGCATTATAATTCTATGAATATTTTGTAATAAACTCACAACTATGAGGAGTCTTTATGGTAATCAAGCTTGAAAAATAACTCTTCAGAACCTGATTTATTTATCTAAGAACTTCTATAATTTATAAGGTGAAATAAATATGCAATAGAAATTCTCAATTCATCCTAGGACTATAAATGAAAACAAAACTAAGCTTCAAAGTTTTTAGTTCTCCACATTTGAATCTGTGTTCTTCACAATGTAGATTTTTATCCTTAGGGATATGTGGCATTATATATCATTTATACAATCCTATACACTCTAATAATCAAAACTACTTTGAATTCACCAAATAATCATGCAGTTTCATACCTTTTTGCCTTTGCAAATGCCATTTCCTCTGCTTAAAGTCTTTTCTCACAGTTTCTTGAGTCACACATGCTTTTATTCTTTCATCAACACTAATTGAGTTTTCTGCTTTTCCAGAACATTTTCTAGTCAACCCTTTTCTCAGACAGAAGCAAGTATTTTCTTTTCTTTATTAATTTTGGTAGTTGGTATCTCAGACACCTTTCTTTTATCGAAATGTTACACTATGTGGTTGCATATCTCAATGTGTGGCAAGCTTATTTAGTCACTAGTTTTTCTACAGATGTTTGTGGGTGCCTACTACTTGCTAGATACTCTCCTGCGTGTGGTATATAGGGATAAACAACATAGAAATGGTCTTAGTTCTCTCTGTCCACCCTAATGGATTGAACACACATTCAATAAATAAAACAATTGGGTGTAGTACTGTATACTGGGTTTGAGATTTTTGTGGGAGGCTAATTGTAGAGACCTAAGGGCATACCTGGTGAGTTTTGATGGAGAAGACTTCAGCTATGGGAAGAAGATTTAGGCAGAGGATACATCACACAGGAAAGACCTGTGACAGTCCCTGTGATCAGATACAGTGATCATATAATTTATCACCCGATGGGACAGATATAAGAGTGAAATGAAGCTTTATTACTAGTTATTCCAGGACAACACACACAGAACAATCTTAAACAGAATGTGGTGTATGGTAGCCCAATGAAGTAGGACAAGTTTGGATTTTGTTATAGGTGTAGTAGGTAGTTATTGAAGCATTTAATTTGGGATTGACCTGATTCAATTTATGTGTTAAGGAGATTATGACAGTTTATGGGTAAAGATTAGATTGTAGCAGTGCAAGAATGGAAATGAAGATAGTGCTTACAAGTCTGGGCACAGGGCATATTAAAGAAAGTAGATGGAATTAAGATATACTTTTGGGACCAGCAGTTGGTGTAGTGACTATGTCACTGGACTCCCATTTAGTCAACCATGGTTCAAATACCAGACCTGGTGGATTAAACTCATGCTGGGCACATGTGTGTGCGTGCCCAAGGTCTCGAGAGGAGAATGGAGTAGAAGGGATTGTGACATGGCCATTCCCCTGGGGGATGATTTCTTGCTTTCTGTTTCTTTGTCTCTCACTTTCTGGCGAGCGCATGTGCCCAATAGCAAAAACCTCTCAAAAAAATAAATAAATAAATAGAAGATGAAGATGTACCTTTTGAGGCAAAACTTGAGGCAATGATTATAGATTTGATATAGGCAATGAGGGAAAGGAGTGGAGTGGTGCCATTTTTCTGAGGTGGTGAAGGATGAGGGATAAACATACTTGTAAGAGATAATCAAGAGTTTTGTAACAGAAACTGTAAATTGGAAAAGATTATAGAACATGAAACTGGAGATTTCAGTTAGGTAGATGAATTTGGTAGCAGATCAATAAATATTTAATAGGTATTATTAACTCATAAAGAAAAAATTTTAAATATACCCTTCAGGGGAAAGTCTTCTTACTTTGTCTTTTTTTTCCCTAATTGAGGACTAGAGTTGCATAATATAAGTAACATGAGGGTCAGAAACACCATAAATAAACTGGTGGCTACTTTTCAGGTTTGTGTGTTTGACTGTCATTCAACCTTTCTGAATTCTTTCTCAATGTAAAGTTAATGCTTTTTATTATTTTTATTTACAATGAATATAGTAATATCTACTATATGTTGAAAGCCATGAGAAAGTTGTTTTAGAACTATCTGCAAAATATGAGTAATATAATGTGAGCAAAGAAAAGTATTTTATGAATAACTATTTCTGTAATGTAGAGATTTCTTTTTTTTATTTCCGAGTGTCACCAATAGAACTTCATGGAATCACATAAGGTAGTGTGACAGTCATTTTGGTACCCAATGCCATTTTGGTTATATCTTTCTGTTGTTGTGGCTGGCAAAGTTGGGAGGAGGTGGAAAGAGGCATGATGCTCTAAAATAACTGGTTCATATTTGTATTACAACAGTGGAAGAATTTAGCAGTAAGTGGAAGAAAAATAATTCCATTAACATTACCAAACGCTTATTCTGTTCAAGGCAACACTCTATGTATATCTTATTTGTTAACTAATATGTCTCATCACAAATCTGTGATGTAAATATCATTATTATTTCTGTCACAGGTAAAAACAAAGTGAGAAACAGAGAATTCGAGCAACCTTATGAATCTTGCACAGCTAATACATGAATAGGAAAACCACTAATCTATGTTATCATTATAAGTAAAAATGTATTTTAAAATTACTTCATCTGTAGCCAGGAGGTACTAGACTCCCAGTTAGTCAACTACTGTTTGAGTCCTGGACCTGATGGCTTGAAAATCATGCCAGTAGCATGTGTGTGTATGCCCAAATTCCCAGGAGGAGAGTGGATTGTAGTGTGGCCATTCCCCACAATGGGAGGAGGGTGATTTCTTAATTTCACTCTCTCTGTCTCTTTCTCTGTCTTTCTCCAGCAAAAACCTCATCCATATTCACAGGTTTTTTTTTCCCTATTCTTCCATTAATTTCATATTATGTAAATTTTTTATGTAATAGAAAACAAATTTAAGCACTAAATTTCTTTGCTTCTCATAGGCAACCATGTTCCTTTGGCATATGTTGCATTTAGAACTTGATTTAGTTTGGTAAGCAGAGCAGAACATGCCATTATTGACATTCATATAATGCCATATGTCATGTCTGTGTTTTATGAATACAGGAGAGAAGGTGATAGAATTTCTTCTTTCAAAGTTGTTGAAAAAAGTGGGCCAAGAAGTTTTTAAAGGCCAAATTGACATATCTTAGGATGTGCATGTGAATGTATAACAGAACAACTTCATGGTGAATCACATTGATGATGAGCTCCATGTGGATAAACATGTATTATGCAAATGGCATCTGCAGGTGCTTTATGTACATTATGTTATTTAATCTTTGGTGAAACTCTAGTGAGTGTTATTCATTCTCTTCTCGGTTCATAGAAGAAGAAAATGGAAAGCTAAGTTT